GTCAATAAGAAGACACAAGATTTAACGATACTGTGTACTGTCAGTAAGAAAACACAAGATTTAACAATACCTTCTCCTCTTTTATATACCAGTCTACCCTCCATCTAGTAATTACTAGAGCATTCGCCAAGATACGGGATAGTTCTAGAAACGTGGCGTCACTGTAGTCATGTGACTCGCTGACGCAACAATGCCTTCTTCCTTAACGTCAAATACCCGCACACTATGTTGTGTAAAAAAAAACTTAGCACAGTGAGGGTGACTTCCAAATTTCCTATTATTGGAACCTTATGGCTATTTGCTATTCAAATGAACTAGCCTTTTTTTTTTGCTTAATTTCTGAAGGTAATTTACCAGCTTTTATTACCAGATTAGGTTAAATAAAGGTACCCATAGAATCAGTAGTAAGCAACATGTTGTAAGGCTTCCTACAACTAGTCTGTTTTCCATACTTTTCCCTTTACTTTATCCTCTGGGAGCAGTTTTCATGTTTTAAAAACTTTTGTCTGAAGTTCCTGATCGTATGCTCCCTTTAAGTTGTAATTTAAACACCATCTGTCCGTTAGTTTACTTATTCCATTCTGAGTAAATAGTGGTCTACTTAGTCTTTTGAGACATCCAAGACCTCATCAGAGGGAGTTGAATGTATTTCAATCTATTGGATCTGCAAACCCCATAATTCCTGGATGACGTTGCTAGTTATTTGTAATTTATTTGGTTCCAATTATATCGCAACTGAACAGCTTCTGTTAATGATAAACACCTACTTTGCTTTAGTCTAATTCTCAGATCCTCATCCACTAAGACATCTATGAATTGGTCAGGTGCCAACAAATCATCATTTTTCATGGACTATCTGGATATGATGATTGCAGAAGTCTTTTCCTCTTCAGCAAATTCGATTAAAGTATTATCTTCCCTTCTTACTTCCCTTTGGAAACTTCCTCCTGATACAATACTCCAAATCTATTTGATAAGGTGGTCATTTACTTCTGACATTTGGTATAGGTCTCTGTTGGAAAGTTGCTTAATATTGCTGCAATTGGTTCTTTTAAATGTGCAGCAAGATTATTAGCTTGCTGTTCACTACTTCATACATTCTATCTATAACTAATTTCAAAGTGTACCTAATATGACTCCTACGGTACTTTCCATCATAGTCTGTTGGTTTCTCAACAGTTAAGCTGGCATACTAAATTCTGTAACATTATGAGGTAGTCGCGTAGATGAAGTAGTACAGGTAAATCCTGCTTAATAGGTAGCATACATGGGTTCTTCTATTTCATATCACACAGTTAAAGTTGCTTGAGGTTGGAATTCTTGAGCAAATGCAGAAAGAAGTGTGACCTGTTTGATCCTTGCATTTGCCATTTCAGTTTCCAGATGTTTTATATTGAGGATGATGTTCTTTTGCACTTTGTTTGTTTTGTTATAACCCTTCTGTATAGTTCCAATGTCTTCTTTGAATCTATTACTATTAATTTTCTGGGCATTTCCTATACTGTTCTAATACTTCTTTACTCCATAAATCTTATTTTTATAATCCTTCTGTATATATCATCAAATTTTTCATTTTCAATTTGTGTGTCTTCTGTCTTGTTCTCCATCAAATTTATTTTTCATCACCAGTTTCTCTGTAAATATTATGCCTCGATCTTGTAATTTCTTCTTTAAATTTCTGTCTTTTTTTATTCCCTTGGCCAATTTGATATCTAATTACAGTTATAGACTCGAAAAAATCAAACTCTTCCGATTGATTAGTTTACCATAACCAAAGTCTCATAGATTAATTTATTTCAATCCTGTCTAAAAGAATTTCAATTTGAGGATAGGCTGGAAGAGATCCTGGTGAATAATAAAATTGAATCGGTATACGCGCGCCCCACGCTTGGTATTGCTGGCGCACGATAATATAGCTAATAAAAGGAAAGAAATATCTCATAGATTGATTTACTCTAATTCTACCTAAAAAAAATTTCAAGCTCCACGGCTATTGAGGGTTCTCTCTTGTTTTTATAGTCAATATGGTAGTCTTATAAGCGCTTTGTTATATTTGAAGTACGTTTTTCTTTTGGACTTCTTGTGTTATATGAAGACGTTTTTGATTTGGAATTTTATGATGAAGTTCAAGATGAGTGATTTCTTTAACTTATGTGGTTTTCACACGCCATAACCTTCAACAAATACATTATATTTTTTTACTAGACTCTGGGAAGGAGAATTAGTATTGTAGTGAACTAGCTGGTTAGGGTCGTATGTTTCCTACCCTCCTTCCTTGACTAACCAATGGGTTGGGTTGTCGGGTCGATC